GTAAGTTTCTCGAAGGAGTTTATGGTGAGCTCTCGGTGCCTGATCAGTGTGCCCACGGTTGCTGCTGTGCACAGAATGGTATGAACTTTCAAAACTCGTTGTTGGGGCCAGAATTCATGGAATTCTCTGAGCCTCCCTCGTTTCCAAGTTTCGAATTGGCTGCAATTGCCACAGATATAAGTAACCTTGCTTGGCTTAAAAGTGGGTTGGAGAATAACAGTGTAAGAGGAATGAGTGATGCAGCTGGTAGAATAACAACTAATGAGTCTCGAGGAAAAATGGGGCGTTTTGAAGATAGTAGAACGAATCATCTTTTCCCTGTTGAAGAGAGAAACGATAGGCTAATGGGCATGAAGACCAATGTACTATCAACCTAAGACTGGTGCACAGAATGTGCTACAACTACAATCTAAAGCAGGGGATTCAGGTTGCTGTCACCGCCTAATCAAGTAGGATCAACAAAGATACTTGTTTCCCAGTCTGAGAATCGTCACTACTCTAAGAGTCACGGAGAAGCGAGAGGTCAATTTTTATCCTCAATAAACTTTCAATAACTGTTAATCCAGTTGAAAGGTGTGGCATCTCTTCTCTTCGTTAATACCATATGCATCTAGTTATTTAGCTGAACAGAATTTGAAGCAACTCTTTTCAACTCAAGAAACTGTCTCCCTTGTAGCTGCTGTCGGCTCAGAAAATATGTTTCATTGTTTCTGTTGGTTGTATAACCATAAACCCTATCAATCTCCCTTGTAGCTGCTGTGCATTTTCCAGATTTCTGACATATGAAAGGCTAGTTTGCATACATTAACAGCATCCTCAAAACTCAAGTTCTTTTTGACATTTCATTACTTGCCATGAGCGTTTATTCAGATTTATGGCTACAAAATCTCACACGTGAAGTTAAACTATTGACATGTATATTTTGTTTAAGATATCTCTTCTTTCCGAATGCCAACCCAAGAAGAAATTCTTAGGTCTGATTGCGAGGACCAGGTCACCTGTACAACTCACATGCACAAGACAATGAGCCTCGGCAATTTGGTCCAATTGAACCCCGTCCTGGTCCAACCAAGCCTCGGTATTCCACCTCTCACAAATACATAGGACCCCTGTATTTTGATCACACCCGACTTCACGTTGATCACACCGAACGTAAGAGTTGTTTTAGTCAGTCAGTCCTACCGAAGTTATGGTCCAACCCAAACGGATAGCTAGGAAGACTGGCTTTAGTTCGAATTCAACTTATTGAGAGGAGCAACAGGAATAGCGCCAAAGTGTGGAAGGGGAAACAAAGAAACAAGTAAAAACACTTGTAGGACCCCAGAAGATGGATATTGGACTGTGTCCTCCAAGCCTCCTCCTTTTTCAGTGTAGTGTAGCTGTCGAGTCGACGAACTGCCCCAGTAAAGGGTAAGATATTAGATATAGGGCAGCCCCACCATATGACCCTCCTCGTTGTCCTCAAGGATTACTTGCTCCTCTTTCAATTTGTAGATGGAGGAAGTGGGTCGTTCCAACTACCACTCGAATCACATGTGAGAGAGATATAAAAGCAATTCAAAACGGTGCGTTTGTTTAGCTAATTATTTGTCGTGTAAGAGTGGATATTGGAAGACAAAGATTTCCAGATATGAGAGGGAAGAATCAAAGGATGACCCACAACACAAGGAGGGAAGAACATTAAAGCTAAAGAGAAAAGTAGAAGAAAGAATGAGATTCCAATTCCATAAGTATATATATTTTTAATTCCATTACAATATTTGCAATTACGACATTTGTAACTCAAGCGGTCAAGGATTTTTTTCCTGCCCTTGGGATTTTGTGTTCAAACCCCTATTGCCTTATTATCAAGTTTATCAACAAAAAAATATAGGCATATATGTTTATTTGTCCCCCAAACTTATATAAAGCTATCAATTTTCTTTCAAACTTTAATTTTAGTTGATTACTCCCTTGAACTTTTATAATTAGCCAATTTTCCCCTTTGAACTTTAATTTTAGCCGATTACTTATCTGGACTTTTATAAATAGTCAATTCTCCTTGACACTAGATTTTAAAAAATTTCATCAACTTTCTATCCATTTTGATCACGCTGACAACACATGACAACTGTATGGGAACAAAAAAAATGAAAAATTTTAAAATCTATACGCTAGGGGGAGGGGGAATTGGCTATTTATAAATTATTAGGGGGTAATCAACTAAAGTTAAAGTTCAATGGGGAAATTGGCCAATTATAAATTTCAGGGGTAGTAGGCTAAAATTAAAGTTCAGGAAAAAAATTAGATGCTCTATACAAGTTCCCCGGGGGAGCAACTGACAAATACCTCAAAAACATATTACAGGAAATGAGGAGTTTCGCTAGTTAAGATTGAAGAGGAGTTCCTCCTCAATTTACTCCTTGACCGAATCACAAACCGTCCTTTGTTTCGTGGCTTGGCTGTTTCCTATTATTTTTAGACTGCCCTTTGTAATGCTTGGAATTTTTGTTTTGGTCAACTTTGTAATGGTTAGGATGTTGAGATGAAATTAACAGTTTAATACAGTTTTGTTCTTTATATGCTAGTAACTCATTTTTCTTTATTTGCCAATCATATGCCAAGATGCAAATTCCGAACTATATGGTCGTTTGCCTGAAAAAACAAATCATCTCGCACTCTTGCATTTTGGTTTCATCTATTGGTTGCTTTATACAAGTTTTCAGACACAAAAACTTATCAAAAGATTGAAGATAACGAAGAATGACTCCTTGTGGAATACAAAGCATTTTGCTTCAACCACGATGCATTGTAGCACTTGATACTACAAACCTTTCCAAAAAGAAGAAAAAGGGAAAGGAGATTTAAAGGGCAGACCAATTCTGATTTGGTTCGTTGGATCTTAGGCAACAACCATAATTGGAATGTAGCTCTTTCCAAAATTTCCACTCCATTTTCCTTTTTCCTTAAGATTAATTTTTTATAGTAAATTTATTTTACTTTTTTGTTCTTCACGCAAATGCAATATTACATAAGCGACACTGACCTTGAGGTGGTCCCACGTCCAGTCAACTCCATCATGACCGGGAAATTCCATAACTACAAAATTATAAAATACAATGAGGGGACATAAATATTGGACATGGATCCTCTCCGGATCCAATTGTTGTAATCCTAAAAATTCATCAATTCGGATAGTTGAAATTTGATCAAACGGTTAAAGTTATTATAATTTTTAAAATGAGTCTCTGCTTGTAACCGTTATATCAAATTTCAACAGTCCGGATTGATGAATTCCTAGGATTAAGACAATTGGATATGGAGAGGATCCATGTCCATAAATATTGCTGATGCAGTGCTGCTTATATCCACAATCTACGGTCCTGATTTCATCATTTCATCCATTTCATCCATTTCATCGTTCGGTTACATTACCCTACAAATAGACGGCCATGATCCATGCATGAAAGCATGGCAAAGGAGAGGGATGCATAGAGAAATCCTGCTTGCAGTTACTGGTACTAAAATTATTTTGTACTCTAGGAGAAGGAGCAGCCACTGATTAAAGTATGTAATGGGTAACTGAAAGTAATAAATAATTGGGACGTAGTTTCTGACACATTGCCGCCTTATCTTCTAAGAATCTTCATATTCTTTGCCTTCGTTTGGGTAAAATTTTTCAATACTTCTACAAATCGTATCCTATATTAAATGTCATAATATAATTAGTTAAAATATTTTTTTTAAGTATTTAATCAATTATATTATGACAGTTAGTGTGTCGATTCTTGATTTCGACATATTAAAAATCTCTTTTTCATTTGTTATACAATTGTGATGGCAAATCGATCTTTTTAAGGAGACGAGCAATTATCACTATCCAGGTATTAATTACATGCTAACCATCCTTTTATTTGAATTTTCTCTTCTTATTTTTTCAGTTTTTTTTCAATCCTATAATGTTGTTTGTTAATCTGAATGTCTAACTTTTAGACCATCTTTTAAAGATTAATTTTACAAAAATCAACTAAATTAGTATTGTTTAACCATTTAATTAACGTTGACAAAATTTCAAAGTTCAAGTAAGAAATATTGTTTACCTATTTATTAGATAATGTTAGATGATTCCGTGATTTTGTATTTAGTTAATTTTTTTGCAAATACGATCTTTAAATGATAGTTTTAAAAATAAAGGATTTAGATCATTGACATGAGCTTTATTATAAAGATGAGAAGAAAAGTCAAGAAGATAGAATGCAAAAGTAATATGCCAAATATGATTAAAAGACATTTAAGTGTTCTCCAATGGATATGTCATATATGATGTGGCATGTGAGTAATTTGACTCCTTACTTTCTAGTTGCTTTTTTTAACAGCAAACAAAGAAGGAGTCAAATATATTTAGTTTAATTTTTAATGCATGAGTCCCATTAACAACCAATAGAATAAAAACTAAAACTAACTTTGATTATTTTTTTAATAGTTAATGTAACTCTAGGCCCAATAAAATAATAAAATAAATATTTGACACATCTATTGGAAAAAAAGAGAATTTAGCACTTGTATTCAATTTGCCACATTAGCTATCAAATAAAATTTTGACATACTATATTTGACATCTCCCTTGGAGATGCTTTAAGAAGTTTCCTAGCATTGCCCTTGTAATTTGTGTTTAGAAATAGGAAATGTATTATATCAAACAATTAATCTGATTTAGGTGTCATTAATAATTTGAAAAAGACCTTGTAGTTGACTCAAAGATTTATGAGTTGATATAAAATTTGATTTAAAAAAAGAGCCAATATTCTTATAACTGGAAAAAAAAACCACTTTTTTTTTCTAAATTAGAAATTAAAATAAAAATTTATGTATGTATTCAGCTTGTTCTTTAAGAAAGTATTAATTAACGTGTTTATGTTTTTATTTATGATAAATTAAATAATTTTTAAATTTAATTTAAAAAATTAATATATTTAGCATTATTAGTATAAAACTACACAGCACACCAAATATTTCACTAACTTTTTCTTTGTTTTCTCTTTTTTCCACTTATCACTGCTTTTTTCAAATTTGCAGGTTGTCTTTATCAATGGAAATCTCTCTTCCGAAAAATCAGTGCACCCACCGCACGTTTTCTATATCTCTTCCTCCTCCATGAGGGGTACTCAGTCCCAGCTCTCTGAAGCATGACTCTTGCTCTCTGAGACCTCTTTCTCTCCTCTTTCTCTCTCTACATTCTTCAAGCTTGCAAGCCTAAACCTTTGTCCTTAAACTGATCAAACTTTATTGGGTGCATTTAATTTTGTTGGTAACAAATTTCCAACATAAACAATCTTAATGGAGTTGAAGTTCACCTAATCCAACAAAACCCACTTCCTTATATCCTCAAATTCCATCAAATATTTCTTCAACAGTTTTCGAAACCCCCCAAAGCTCCAAACTTTAATGCCCGAATGCTCTGTTCGTTGCCTTGCGCCGGAGTTTCAGCTTCTGGGTTTTTAAAATTTTAACCTCCGAACATGTCCCAAGTCGATTTAGAGCAAGGAACCCACCGCCGCTCCTTCTCCGGCAGCGCCGACGGCGGCAGCAGCGTCTGCTTCTCCGACGCAGACGACGGGTCGTGTTACTCTCAGTTCTTCTCGACCAATGGCGGCTCCTACGACGAGTACAATTTCGCTTTTGTCTCTGATCCTCAGCTCGGCGTGGTGTCGGATTCTCGGAGAGCCTCGTCTGTTTCGGACAGTTCGGTCGAGGTTGTGGAAATTGAGATTGGGGTGCCGGAAATTAAGGTTCATTTGGATAGGGTAGAGAGAGACTGTCGGATTTGTCATCTGGGTTTGGAGAGTAACAGCCACGAATCCGGAGCTCCGATTGAATTGGGTTGTTCTTGCAAGGATGATTTGGCTGCTGCCCACAAGAACTGTGCTGATACGTGGTTCAAGATTAGGGGCAACAAGTAAGTAAATTTATATCTGTTTTTGTTTTTTTTGTTTTATATATATATATATATATATTAAATTTCGAGCCCTTTCGGTAAATCGTTGGCCAACCTGCTTAGGCGGAAGGAAGAAACGAAGACAGAACCTCGGTTTTTAGTTTTTAGCATTATGCAAAGTTTATATCTTTGGTTCGTTGGCTAACCTGCTTACCCGATTCTTAATGTCGAAGTAAGTCTCGTAATACTTGGATGACCTATAGAACGGCTCTACATAGAAGATATACATTTTAGACGTGAGTTAGGCTGGTTAGTATTCTTAAACTAGACTAAAGTAATTTAGAATATCATCATGTCAAAAAAAATAAAAATAAAAAGATAATATTAAAAGAGGGGAAAGGGATTTGAATCCTTCCACCAAATTCATCAATCTGAATATTTGAAATTTGAAATTTGATACAATGGTTAAAAATATAAACCTTCTTTAAAAATTATAATAATTTTAACTGTTTAATCAAATTTCAAAAATCTAATTTAGGGGAAGGGATAGATCCCTTCCCTAAAAGAGGGCAATGGACAAGACAAGGTAAAGGAAAAATTGAAAGCATTGAAATGTGTACAAAACTAGAATTCCTTACAGCTCTGTCTTTCGTCCAAGAATCTCTGCTCCTATGTGATTCTCTTTCTCTTTTATGAAAGTGGGGATTTGACATCTTATTGATTTTTCCAATTAGATTTAATCTTTTGCAAAAGCTTTTGTCGGCCGACGCGCTAAATAATTGATATTTCCTGTGTTCATATCCACATTCCCTATTCATCCAGCATGCTTAGTGACAAATCGCTTTTAATTGACATTTCGAGTACGATAGATGTACAAGTAATCGAGCTTTTGACGTATTGCCATGTATCATTATTTCACCATGTGACGATTGTTTATTGGATGAATCGTGCATTTTTTAAACATATGACAAACGTTTATTGAACAAAAAAATTACTAGAACTAAAACTTAGTTTCATGAGAGAATCTCTCGATTTTGTGGGTGTCACTTACATATTAGCAATGGCTGCATAGATGCTGACAGTAAGATGTGCGGTGGCATTGCCACTTTTATATCACATTGATTGCACATGTCCTGGTGATGCTCTGATAATGGTGGCAGATACGTCATATGAAATCTGATAATTTCGATGTTTGAATCTGACAGGATTTTATGAAATCTTACCGTATACTTGTAAAATCCGTGCAATATGATCTCACATATGATGTGCGTCTTGCTACACTCCTTCCTTTTCATCTTAAATTATATCTCACGTCTGCGAAGTGTGAGCGTTACCATTGTGGCCTTCTAACATTAGGTTAATATATTAATCTGCTGCGTTCGGAATTGTTATTCATAAACGAAAACCATTAGGTTAAGATATTAATTCCACTCCATGTTTTCCAGGACCTGTGAGATATGCCAGTCAGTTGCACGCAACGTCGTTGGGCCAAATGACATCGAGTTCACTGAGCAGTCAAATGAATCCAGCACTGCCTCAGCAACTGCCGCAGTTGCAGCCCCAGGGGCCTCCACAGAGACTCGAAGTTTCTGGCACGGTCACCGCTTCCTCAACTTCCTTCTTGCCTGCATGGTATTTGCTTTTGTCATATCGTGGCTCTTTCACTTCAACGTTCCGTCGTGAAATTCCGAGCAAAGAGTTAAGAAAACTTGGATAATCAAAAGAAAAAACAAGTGTAAATGAAGCTGCAAAATCTGCTGGATGATTAGTAACACATAGTTGCGAAATCTGCAGCGTTTATATAGATTAGTAGTAGTACATCATATATTGCTTCATGTCCACTTCTCTTGGATTGTTTCTTGTTCATAAGTTGGCTTTTTCACGTCTTCTCTTCAAGGCGTTTTATGTGTCAAAAAATGAGTGTCCTTCGATCCTAACCCTATATATAATTATATAAAATATATCTTTCTTTTTTCTTTTGGCCAGTGGATTTGGATTCTCTGAAGAGCAAGAAAATTGCTGAATTGAATTGTAAAATTGCTTCATTGCTGTTGGATCATACTCTGTCCAACCACATCATCAAGTTCAGCTACCATATGTTGCTCGGCAAACCTATATGGCATGTCTATGGTACGAACAAGTCATGAATTAGGAGAAGGGAGGAAGGAATTGGTATGAGATCGATCAATTCTTTCGCAGAGATTTACTGCACATAGCCGCTCAATTTATCTCAAACAATGTTTTAAAAGGCGAAGGCGAAACCAGGGCATTTCATGGAAATCTTCTCATAGGCGATAGCCTCACAGTAGTATGATACTTAAAATATATATATACAGGCCTTTAAGTGAAGGGATCTCCATTTTTCAAAAAAAATGGGATACCTCCCTTGACTATTAGATTTGATTTTAATGAAATTATGTGGTTAAAATTAAATCACAGGCTAAAGAATTTCAACCATAGGATTTCATTAAAGTCAAATCTAACGGTCAAGAAGATGTTCCTATTTTTTTTTTGAAAAATGGGGATCCCTTCACTTAAACGCTTCCTCTGTGTGTGTGTGTGTGTGATGATACTTTGTAAAACAATCAAGCAAGCATAAAAAGGAATCAAATATTTGACAATTATTATTATGAGGACGGATCTATGTCACTACTTTTTTTACACAACTTTTGACACATTTTTGTGAGGCCCACTCTCTAATGTATTTCAACAATTGGAGCCGTCTATCTTTTAGATCATCTCTCAAAAATCATATCTACTAAAATTCACCAAAATCTAAAACCATATAACCGCTGGATTAAGGGTTTAGAGTTTCTTTGTTGAGCCGTATTCGTCCATTTTCTTCACTATAAATGAATATCTTAATGGTTTTGGATTTGTCTATTTTTTTCGGAATGATGATCTATGAATGATGTTCTAAAAGATAGGCATTCATATTGTTAAATACATTACGAAGTGAGTCCCACAAAAATGTATGTCAAAAGTTATATAAAAAAGTGGTGTCACGGATTCACCCCATTTATTATTTCTCTAATTCACATCATAAAGTCATAATAAACTAATAAAAACTAAGTAGCAACATAAAATTAGCATGAATTTTGTAAAAATCATGCCCAAAATGATGTCATTTTATGTTTGAGCTTTTGTTTTTTAAAGAACAAAAAGATTCAAATGCCCAAATCGTCTAGACTCCTGAGGCAGTTAGGCTAGTCTTTAGCCCACTCCCTCTGGGCAGAAGTGTTTTTCAATGCTTAGCAAATTGGTCACTTCCCCGGCGATCGAGCGAAGGTGTTCTCAAAATTGAGAAAAATACATCGGCTTTTGATTCAATAATGCTATAGTAGCAAAGGTGAATTGTGCCGGCCCCTACAATAGCTTTCAAAAATCTCATAAACTCTTCGGTATTCGATTGCAGATTTTAACACAGAACCAACTTCTTATTTGATCCATACGTGTTAGGGCTGGTTTGGTATTGATGTGCTTTGAAAAAAAACTGATTCTGTTGTACTGTGAGAATAAGCAGCTGTGAACTAAAGCAGCAGAATGTTTGGTAAACTTTTTTGTAAAAGTGCTTTTGAAAAAAAAAAAACAGTATTATAGTGTTTGGTAAACTTTTATGTAAAACAGATGTGAAAAAAGCCGATTTTTCAAAGTTGGGTTTTGCAGCTTCTTGTTTTTGACTTTTTTTCACCCAAAAGTGTGAAAAAAAACTGAAGCTGAATGTTTACCAAACACAAAAACAGCTCTCAGCTTTTTTTGATACCAGCTTTTTTCAGAATCACCTCAGTACCAAACCAGGTCTTAATAACTCAAGAATTGAAATAACCCAATAGCTCATGTTTTAGTAAACGCGGAAAGTCGAGAATCAAAATAATTCCAATACTCGTTTGCAGAGGCCAGAAACAAAAATTATCAAAACCAACAGAATAATCTTCCAAGAAATCCTGAATTGAAGCAAGCAAAGCTTAAAGCCTTCAAATACCCAAATCATAACAATAAAGAATAGATACAAGGCTAAACAAACGACTACTAATATAAGCGCCGCCGGGATGTTAACGGAGGCAAAAGCGTCGCCCGGATGTTAACGGAGGTATAGAGGAAAAGAAGGAAAAAAAAAAATGAGGCTATACACTTCAAGTTTTGTTCTTTTTGGCTTCCAAATTTGTGCCATCTTTGAGTGTTTCTTGTGCATCATTATCCATGCCAAGGATGAAGAGGCAAGCTGCTTGAAGGTACAAAGCTGTCGGCCACTCGGGAGAAACTACCTGGGCTTGCATAGCATCCCCCAGAGCTTCTTGTGCCATTTCACTTATCAGGTAAGAGAGGCAGCGCCGAGCATACACCGTGGGTGATACCATGGTCCCGCCGTCGATGAACTACAAAAGCAATCAGAAGGGTAGAAACATAAATCAGCGTTGATGTGACAAGTTCTAAATCCTAACAGACACCCTAAATGCTATTCTCCTGATCTTTCTCAATAGCATTGTGTATAAGACAGTCTGACAACTTATATCATATGATCAACAATGTACGTACAGAAACAGTTCAGAAATTAACGAAGCATGAAACCACTATCAGATTCTGAGGCTTACTAAACTGTAAGCGTGCATTCTTGAAAAAATAAAATAAAAAATCCAGATACAAGGCCAGTTTTTGAAAATTGCGATGTCTTTAAGTTACGGAACAGGTTAGAAGCATGGATTGTGCACACCAGTTTAAAATTATTCCCGAACAGAAACTCACTTGTGTATAGGAATCAATCGCAGTTGTAAAATCTTTGGCTCGAAAAGCAGAATCTCCACTCTTCTTAGAATTCAAAGTCTCCTGCATTTGATTAGTCCACAGCTGGAATGAAAGCTGCAGGGCCAAATATCTCAAGCAGGATTAGCACTATAAGGAATAATTGTATTTAAAACAAGCGCTTCTTGCTGGTCATACTTCAAACACGTGCACACTGTCTTTTTTTTATCAAATATCACAGATCAGAGTTCAAAGAACTGAGCACAGGACATACAGTAACATACCTCATTAGCAATCCCCACATCATCCTTGTATCCATTCTTTTCCAATATTTCATGTATGGCAGTGAGATCCTTTCTCAAACAAGCTTCTCCAAAGGGTGTTAATGCCAATGGCTGCGTTGAGGATGCGCTTTCATGTGCAATACCCATCAAAACATGTGATGCAACCTGCTTGAAAACTAGGCAATGAGAAATTATACTCTTCACAAGCAAACTAAAGCTCTTAAATGGCAGGCTAGCATTAACAATGCCATGCCCACAATTGATGAGGGGGAAATTAAATTTCACTTTAAGTATAAAATTTCCTTCCCTGCATCTGTTTTTTTGTTTGGAGTGCCAATAACACCTCCCTTTTAAGAATAACATAAGAGAGAGATAGTATTCTGTACGTCGAAGAGGAAGCCTACTTATAGGCTTAGGGATTGCGAACTAATACAATGGTACCGGAGACGATACTAGTTTAGAAGAATATAAACCTAACTCATGTCTAGGACTCTAGGTTAATTATAATGTGAAATATCTCAGCCATACATGTCAGATATTACAATAGCATCTTTTTCAAGTCGGAATCCAACGCCTCTAACCTATATCTAGCTTGTTTATACATGTAGGCTCAAGATGGTTTCTCGTGTATCACCTTTGAGTTTCAGAAGTTGTTAATGATATATTCCTCACATTATATATATATATATATATATATATAATAATCTGGACACAGGTTAACTCCAAATTCTTACTATACGTAAATGGAGATACTGTCAAACTGATTTGACCAACAAAGATTCGGACTAACGAGAGGAGGAATATAGATCGTGTGCAGAGATGGTTGGCTGCAATATAGATCAGCGGCGGTGACAGTGATGGCTGGTATGAGCTAACAAATTAGTACAAGCCATTAATTGGTGACTCTGATATCACGTTAGAATAGGGACACAAAAGAAAGAAATAGGAAATTATGCATGTTGTGAGTGAGTAATAATGCATGTACAAGGGAAAGTCTATTTATATGTTTAAAGGGTGTAGTGCATTATGAGGAAAAGTAAGAATCTAGACCTAATATTTGTATGAGATTATGTGAAATAAGTGAGATACACACTAACAATAATGATAGAATCCTTACCTCTGTTTCTTTCTGAAGTGACATGAGAGCAGTGACGAGGGACTTTGCATTTGGCCGCTCACGAGCTTCATATTGCAGACAACGAGAAGCTAAGCGTACTAACTCAGTTCCGTCATCATTTGAGAAATTACCCTCCAAAGCAGAATCCATTAGCATCAGGAAATTCCTGCCGCGAATTAGATCTAGCGCCTTCAAACAAGACATGCAAACATGGTCACCCCTAATTTGATACTCAAATCAACATTTGGAGTCCTAAAACAAGGGTTCTTATAGGTGTTTATAACGGTTAGCCTTCTTCAGTTTACTTCTGCAGTCACCAAGGACCAACTTTTGAAGCAAAAAAGTTAGCCATAGGAGCGTGAAACCGCTTACTGGTATTATTAACCAAACACCAAGCTACAAAAGAATCCATAACTACTTGGGATCAAATGAAACAAAGAAAAGGATATTTAGGGGAAATTTACCAATAGCTGCTAAAATAAATGATATTTTGGAATTGTTTAGTTGGGACCAAACTTTTTAAATATCTTCACTTTTCTTTTGCCAAACACAGTGCATATTTATGCAAAGATTCTGTGACCCTAGCTTGCTATTAGGTATCCAAACAAACTCAAGTATTATTTTTCATTCCAATGAGAGATTTATTTTTTTGTCCCACGATTCCCCACTACTATATATATATATATATATCATGAAACGTCATTGTAAAGAAGAATCGCCATAGAACTCACATGGCTGGGGGGAATATGTTTGCCACTTAGAAGATCAAGCAACAATGTTCCGAAGCTGTAAATTACACTTTCTTGCGTCACCCTACCTGCCAACCAAAGCACATGTACATTTATAAAGTTATAGTACCTTCTGAACATATTGAAAGCTTGAAACCCAATGGAATTCGTAATAAGGCAAGGGGAAAAAAATTCCATGTGCTCCACCAACGATCCAATATACAACTTGGCATCCTTCTCACATTGAATTTTATTGAAAGGAACTGATGAAAATCTTATTCTTAATAAGAATAAAGGTGGCGCAAAAACTTGTTAACTAACTTTTCAATACACAAATTCCCAATTCAGCGAATTGATTCCCTTAGTTCGAATTCAGTTCTAAGCAAATGAGTCTTTACGTGTGGTGTCTGTTACTAAATTCAAAAGCATAATGTTGCTATTACTTTCTAAAACCGCAAGCATTTCAATCGAAGTGATCATACCTGTCCTGAGATACTCAGGAGGAGTGAAAGCCAAGTTTGTACTGTAACTCTTGCCATCCCTGCTATTCTTCATGAGGCCAAAACATGACAGCCTGGGATTACCATCCTGTGTACCAAGTCAGAAAACCCAAATGGTAAACAATAAAAACAGATAAACCCGCGATTCACAACCTCGCGGGAAGTCCTCGTGTTGCATACCCTACTTTTCAATTAAAACCGAAAAATATAACAGATTAACCCCAAAAAAACAAAAATCAATCCAATTCAAAAATACAGAAGACTTTATAATCTACCTGATCAAACAAAACCCTGTAGGCATTGAGATCATGATACAAGGCACGACCTTTACCACTGCAGTAATCGAGAGCTTGAGCCAGATACAGCGCCACCCTCAGCCTCATAGCCCACCTCATCGGCTGGCTCTCCCAGTGGAACAGGTGCTTCGCCAGCGTCTCGTGCGCCATGAACTCCGCCACCAGCAGCCGCTCCTCCCCTTCGCAACAGCATCCGATCAGATTCGCCAGCCTCTCGCTCCTCAGGCTCCCCACCGACCTCGCCTCCTCCTGCAAACAAAAATATTCGACCTTTCCTTATTTTTCCAGAAAACAAAAAAATCTGGGACTGGGATTTATCAAAATGTTGAGAAGTGGAGGGAGGGTTGAGTTTGACGGACAAGGAATTGGCGATTGTCGGGCCAGGCGAGCTTGTTGAATCGCTTGACGGCGATTAACAGGCCGTTGTCGAGCTTTCCCTTGTAGACAACGTTGGGAGCTTTTTCGCCGTGCTCGGAAACTATGTTGTCGGAGGCGAAGCCAGACGTGGCGGCTTTCATTTGGTCGAGGCTGTACTCCGTGAAGGTCGGCCATATGCTTTTGTCGCTTTTGCTCCCATTGTCTGCAACAAAACAGCAAACGAATGGTCCGAATCACACTCAGAAGCTCAAAAAAAAAAAACATAAATGGAAAACAGAGAAGAAGGGCCCGGTTACCCAGTTCGGAGGATTCGAGGACGGTGGGTTTAAGGTGGGAGTGGAACCAGCAGAGGGAGAATCTGGAGCAGCGGGCTCCCATTTGAGATCGAGCGTCGGAGAGTGAGCGTGGGAGTGGGAAAGTCAGATGATCAGACGGTGGACATCAATCAGAGAGAAACAGAGGAAAACAGAGGAGGGTTCAGTCTTTGAATCTTCAGAGAGTAAAGTTCTGGATCCGAAGCTGATTCATTTCTCAGGCGCTCTCAGTCCTAGTAGCTGCTCCCAGCAAGTTCACTGTTATCAAAGTACCATAAATATATATATATATTAATTAGTGCTTAAGATGATTATTATTGCTAAATTGTTAATTAATCAGTGTGAATGTGTGTCTCTCACGTTTGGCGTGTGAGTGTCAGAGTTTCAGAGAGTGTGAGTGACTCCGTTATGTGTTGCATAAAAGAATATGCGAAAACGAAAAGGAAACGGCCTTTTTCTTCCATTTCTTTCCACTTTCTTCTGCAAAGTCATGATTTTTTCCTCTCTCTCTGTTTTTTTTCTTCAAGAGAGTGGATTAGTGGTCAATTCAATGTCCGTTTTGCTTTGTTTCTTCAGTGGGGTCAAGAAAGTCAAGCAAACTAATGAACCAAATTTAAAAATTCTTTCTTATTAATCACTCCTCAATAATCTCTCTCAATTTAATATAGGGGTGGTTCGGTATGGGATCCCATACCGAAACCATTGTCCCGATTCCCAAACCGAAATTTTTGGGAATCCCAAATTCAATCCCAATCCCAAACCAAATTTTCGGGAATCCCAATTTTCGGGAATCCCGAAATAATTTCGGGATTTCGGGACAAATCGGGAATCCCGAAATGCTTTTGGGCTTTTGGACTAAAATTTGACATATTATGTTTTTGGGCTAAAATTTGACATATTATAAAGTAATAAATAAAGTAACAATGTTAGCGTAATTCATGTAGAACCATGAAAGAAAACGAATATAAGGCATGAATTAGAAAAACCATAGATTCATGAAACAACTCATTAAAATTGAAATGATGGATCACATAGCAGTAACAGCACCATCTCCACGAGAAGGGAATAGGAAATTAGAAATTAGAAATTAGAAACCAATACTTTGATTTGGTTAGTTCAGAAAACACAGAAGGAAAAAGGGTTTCTGTACAAGTTAAAAGGTATATGCTTTTAGGTCATAAAAGTCCCATGTCTCCACCTCCACACAGAAGGAAATAATTCTCTAATAATAAAAAAATATATATATATATTTAATATTTATTTCAATTCGGTATGGGAATACCGAAAAAATGAAGATGCAATACCGAATCCCATACCGAAAATTTCGGTTTGGTTCGGGATAACATACCGAAAATTTCGGGAATTTTGGTTTGGGATTTTTTTGGTTTGGGATCGGGATTTTTTCGGTTTGGTTTGGGATTTTTGGGATTTTTTTCCAGCCCTAATTTAATATGGTTCGAAAAATTGAAAGTCCAAACAAATCGGACCAAATACCGAAGGAACCAAACTGAAAAAACTGAACCATATTTAAAAAACCGAATCGACCAAAGTTGATTCGTTTGATTTTAATTTTAATGATTCAGAAATCGAATCAAATTGAACTGAACTGAACCGAACTAGCCTTTACCCTTAACCGACATCATTTTTTTAGTTATTTAACCCAAGATGATGCAGTTCGTTCTCATCTTATCAAATATCTGTTTGGACTTCGGACACTTTTTATTCGGTTTGAGTTTTTTCCTTTAATATAATGTTATTTTTCTTACTTTGGTGCTGAAAGTTTTATGAAACTACGTTAAATCTTGGAAAGAATAAAAAAAACCAGTAAATTAAATTTCAGAAACCGAGTTGAAGATTATGAACATGTTGATTAGTGTTATCACTTGACTTGAAATATCTTCAACAAACCAATGAGCGAGCAGGTTAGTGAACAAATGAAGTTTTAACAAATTTGAATTTTAGAATGTTTGTTACAGATTTAAACAAAAAAAAAAAAAAAAACAATTTCATGTCTGTAAAAAAAAACCAAACCGAACCCAAATCAAACCGTTAAAAACCAAGCCCAAGTTAATCCGAAGAAAATCGAACATAAACCAAATCAAACAATAGTTTCGGTTTGGTTTCAATTTTTTGACAAAAAACCAAATCAATTGAAACTGAACCCACCCGTTTATCTTCTGGTTAGTCCCCATCAGTTTATACTCTTTACATGATCACCTTGTTTCACAAGTTGACAAGGGACCCAGGAGGGAAAGAAAATAGGGCTTAAATTATTCTGTTACAAAATGTTGGCAAACAATTGAATTGATGTCAGTTGGTGGTGACAAATATTGGCCTTAAACAAACTTTATTGACAATCGATATGATGCGTGACAGCATTTGGCCTAATTGGTCTTTCTTTGTGCCTAAAAGATATGACTTTTGAAGGTAGAGATGATCCTTGTTTTATCAAGATTAAGGGTAAGTGAAATGAACTAGAGGAGTGAAGAAGAAGAGACGTGCACTGTGTTTTTTGGACTGAAAACTTAAAAAATGACATCATAGATTAAAGTGTGACACACTTATATGTTTAAGAAGGCAAGTTGAATCACAATAAGTTTCAGGAGGTAAAGTCGGACTCCCAAATACTTTAGGGGGCACACCAGTAATTCAACATTGCAATTTTGACTATGCTCCAACAATATTAGTCAATTTCTACACAACAAAAAACGATCGCATGAAAACATCTGTTATATTACTGGTATAAAATAAAGTGTTTATGAGGGGTAGAGATTCTGCACATAGATTGCATAAAGTGACTTATTATATAACGGTTAGGGGTGATTAATTTGTTAATGCAAATACATAAACCATGTGATTAATTTGTTTTTTAACATAATGTAGTTGGTACATGCGAGAAAACCTGTTATATAATCAATTGTATATAATAATGTGTTTATTAAGAGTAGATAGTTTGGTGAGATATAGACACGTTTACGTTACGAGACAAGAAAGAAAAACAAAGAGTGTATCATCTCCTTTGATTTTTGGAATGGCGACAATTCTAATTTATAGAAAGAGAATCGTTTCTAACTTTTTACCCGTCTTCACATTTTAGCAAATACAAAGTCCAATCTTAGGTAAAATCAACTTTCCATTGTTACATTTAACAGTCTTTTTAACTTACTTGTATTAGAGAATTAACAGTTCGAATTTACCCTTTTCTTTTTGGGGAAAAACCAGATCAAGCTTTTCACCAATTGCAGGTTTCTCCAAACAAGACAATGAAAGATGAGCATGCTTGATCAGACAAGAGTGTGACAAGTGTTGCTATAAGTAGCAGCAGTGTAACATGCATCCATATGGGTGTCTAGAGACCCCTTTCTTTTCCCACTAAAAATAAGGAAAAGAGCATATCAATGAAGAAAAGTGGTGGTTTTTTTAGAGCCTAGACATGCCTCAATCATGATATTTCACCTCTTACATCACACCACAAGGATTTTTACGAAACGGGTATATTATCATTGTATCATTCTATATCAATGATGTACTGTATTTGTATGTTTCTGTCTACGTAATTTTATCTCATTGACACAAGACAACACAGTTGCAGTCTACTCGTGCATACATATTGCTCTCCGTATCACTAGACCACACGACAAATTGACAATCGTGCATTAGACGGATAAATTACACTTGTAAAATACTTAACAAACATTTGTCAGACCATGATGCCACTGTCAGTAAAAATTAGTTGCGTGAGAGAATAGCTTCCACATCACACATTATAATTATACTTAACATGTCTCTTTATTGACCAACTTTTACAGCTGAAATTGCGCCTGCGTTCTTTCTGGCCAATGGCCATGGCAACAAGTGGGGTAGTAATCCTCTCATATAACTCATGAGGAAAGAGAGAGATGAGGCGGGCACATTGGGGCCTCCATGCTGTCAAATATCACAGAAAAAGCTCACATGGCCGAGCAAGCAATTTTTGCTGTGATCCAGCCCATATCCGTCAAACTATAACATAACCAAGCAAAAAGAATATATTAATTAAATTACAAGATCTAAAGTTCGTGTTTGCAATGATTAATTACATGATCTAATGTATGCAAACACATGCGCCCACCCTTGCATGAGCTCAATCGAAGAATGTGGTTTGGGACGATAAATTTTTTGAGCGCACTGCGTCAAGGCACTAATACAATCATGAAGCTTGCATGAAAATAGGATTTATATGATTCTTATGAATGTCATGCGTAATGCGTTGGGGTACATATAAGATTAATTTTTAGTTATTGACATGTCTATCTATCTGATAACTAATCTAAGGTTACAAGATTGCGATCCAATTTTGAGTATACAGTTTGAGAAATTTAATTTAATTTCTAAAAACCTAATTTCTTGTACACCATTCACTTAAAGAGGTTTCAAAATGTGGATATTAATACTAATCTAATTTAAGATGACTGGGGACTGCAGTCAGAGTTTTGAGTTAGGGCTTGGTATGGTATGAATTGGTTCGGTTTGAGCCAAGCCACTCACCATTTCTGGTTCGGTGCGATTAGACAGGCCGAGATCCGCCGCGGGCGTGCCGAGACAAAAATAATAAAGAGATACAGAAGTCCAAGATTTATTTCTGTGTCACCAAACTCCAGTTGAGATTTGATGGATATTGTATGGTAAAGGACAGGAGGCACGTTATCCCTCCACGTGATAAGAGAAGAGGACGCATGTGAGGGTGAGGTCTCAATTTTGTAGGGGAGGGGGTCCTTCCAACTCAGATGTGGTGCCCCACGCTCGAAAGGAAAAACTGCAGAGCAACGTGGGGTGCGGGGGCATATATACCATCATGTGCTCTCTTTCCCTGTCGTCCACATCTAATGCAATGTCGAACTCCTGGGAAGCTATTGTGGCAGTATTTGAAGTCAATAACGCACCGTGGAACATATAAAAAACAGGATAATGTGTTTTGGTTTGGGATACTGCCACAGAAACATTCCCGAACGTAGGTAAGTCCCCTTTAACCATATTCATCTAAGATCTATTGTGCATGCTGGTGCTATATAATGATCTGAAGTAGAACAAAAGCAGGGCTGCAAAACGCGAAAACTAAACCAAATTCCATTTCCATTAGAATACAAATCACGTCATGTGTTTCCAGCACAGAACCCGTACACACTCGATACATAACCTTTCAAACCCAGGGCCCTATTAAACAAATCATGTCAATTCACCTTGTTGCAGCGACATAATCTTTCCGTTCTATGCACCGTTCATAGGAGCATCGGCATGTACTGTGTTTACATCATCAAGAGTCTTGCCGTTAACTTGAGTTCTTTGCCTCTGGATATATGTAACAGCAAAAAATTTGTAAGATGATTGCCCAGATCACAAAATGGTGCTGATATCAATAGAATTTACTCAAAGTGAAGATTCACTTTACCCGATCAGCAGGGTCTCCAACAATTCCATTCAATAGCTTGTGGTTCTCTTCTTTGGTCTTTCCATCCTTGTCCTTCGTGCTTAGCGGTAAC